TGCCTGTTCGCTGCTCCTTACCACTCAGCTCGCTGCTCCTTAGTGCTGCCACAGAGGCAAGAGAGGCTCCCACCACTGCCGCTGCACTCGCCAGCTGCCAGCCGTGAGCCCAGCTTCTGGCTGGAGCACACTGACCACCAGGGGACAGCTCCTGCGTTGAGCATCTGCCCCCTGATGGTCAGTGTGTATCATAGTGACTGGTTGTTCCACTGTTAGGTCGATTTGCATATTAGCTTTTTATTATATAGGATATTCTGACTTTTTATCTCTAGACCTTTATAAATTAGATCATCCTAGTTTTAAAATCTGTATCTGTAAGCCTTGTCTAGGAGCTATTGCTCTGCTGTATCACACGGTAGTTCCTTGCCTCTATAATTTTGTTTCTTTTTAATACAATGTGCCATCAAGTATAATGCATGGGATATAAGCCTCAATTATTGTCAGCTTACTTGGGGACTCATCCTAATTATAGTGATATTTCTCTGACAGGCTCCAGGCAAGCTGTGGCTTGGAGTTCCTCAACACTGAGGGGGAAAAAGGTATTTTCTTTATGGGAGGTTTTCTAATAGCATTTGGAATCCTTTAGTTTAAAACTTTTTTTCCCTTTAGTGTGGTAATTTATGTGCCTTATATGAAGACATGCATTTAATTTGTATTGCTATGATTTAAAATAAATTTAGAATATTCTAATTATGGAGAGACTTATTTCCTTACAACTCAGCTAGGTGGAGGAGATGATGTTTCAAAGTAGATGTTTCAAAGCCAGCAAAAGTACCAGCTTCTGTTACCTTCTCTGGCTCTTTACCTAGCTCATCCTTTATATAATAAAAGGCTAATATGCAAATCGACTGAACAGCAGAATGACTGGTAACTATGACACACATTGATCACCAGGGGGCAGACACTCAACACAGGAGCTGCCCTCTGGTGGTCAGTACTCCCCCACAGGGGACAGCTAGAAGCCAGGCTGTCTGCTGGAGAGTGCAGCAGCAGCTGTGGGGCGGGAGCCTCTCCTGCCTCTGCAGCAGCACTAAGGATGTCCGACTTATGGGGCCTAAGCTGTCAGTCAGACATCCCCTGAGGGTTCCTGGACTGCGAGGGGGCACAGCCAGGCTAAGGGACCCCCTCCCTCCTCAGTGCACAATTTTATGCACCGGGCCTCTACTTTCATTATAAATCTCCTCTCTACTCTGACTCCTTCAATTATTTTTTTGTCACCTCTCTATTTCTCCTGTCATTGTCTTACTGGAGTTAATCCAAAATGGTCTTATTCTTTTGGAAACTTTCTACAAATATAAGAAAAAGAACACTACCTGTGACCTAAAATTCTCACTGATTTCCTTTGCCTTCTAACTCCAGATAGACCGTGTTGGCCTCTTCATTGTTCCCTTCCCACATCTGAAGAAAGAACATTGCTCTTTAACTTGAACTGTTTTATTTGAATGCAACCCACTGAGCCAATGAGTCATTTTCTCTTTTTAAAGCAAGCCTGAAAAATCTTCCATTTCTCTTCAGTTTAAAATTATCTGTTTGTGAAGTATTTTATGTCCTATCTATAAAGATACCTTATAAAACAGAGAAGACTGCCTTCACAACTCAATGACTAACAACAATGGGTGCCCTTCCAAGACTAAAATTTTGAGTTAAGGAGACATCATTTAGTTATCTCTTTTTTATGAAGACAAGGCACATAGTCTTTTTTGTTAACTAGTGAATTTCTATAATCTTGATATACATTTTCAATAAATATTTATTGAATGAATTAAATGATTGATTTCCCTCTTCTCAATATTTCAACTTGCCTAATATCATTTGTGTAGTTTTTTCACATTGGAATCTCCTGTAAGTAGAAAATATTCATAAAAGAATATTGAAAAATGAGAGATGTATAAAACTGGAGAAGGTGCAGCAATACTCTTAGAGTTAATTTAGAAAATGTCTAATGAGAGACACATTCATTTCAGTACAATTTGCATAATCTACACTAGCTTATCAAGTATCATTTAATATATATGTCAATCTCCATTATATTTATTTTATAATTAGAAGTTTAGGGAATGGAATAGAGAGCAGAGTGACTGCAGTTAATAATAAAAAATAATATATGTCAATGACTCATTTATCTGCTACACTCTGATATACTGACTCAATTTTCAAGTGATATCACTAAGCTTTGCAACCATCAGAGTAATAATTGATGGAAGCAAAAATCTTCAACGGATGTTGAAATCAATGGGTGAAAGCTTATCATAGAACAAGGTTAATTACGCCAGTCTCAAAGTATAACCTCACAAATTACTTGTTGATTACAAAGGGAAAAAGGTCTTTTATAATGCAGAAATTTTGTGAACACCATCTTTTTTTTAATTTTTATTGATTTGAAGAAGGGAGAGAGAGAAAGAGCCAGAAACGTCGATGAGAGAGAAACATCGACCAGCTGCCTCCTGCACACCCCCCACCGGAGATGTGCCCCCAACCAATGTACATGCCCCTGACCGGAATCGAACCTGGGACCTTTCAGTCTGCAGACCGACGCTCTACCACTGAGCCAAATCGGTTTTGGCTGTAAACACCATTTTAATCACATGATCAAACTTAACACCACTAATAATGGGACAAACTGTCCTACAATTTTCTTACCAGAAGTGTTTAACACTTTAAATAATGAGAAAAAATCAACCCCAATTTGAGGGACATTCTGAAAAACAGTTCACCTGTGCTCTTCAAAAATGTCAGTGTTATAAAAGTCAAACAAAGGTTAAGGAGCTGTTTTGATTATAGGAGACTAAAGAGATATGACAATTACATGCAAAGTACAATCCTCCATTGCTCTTAATTCTAAAATAAAACCAAAAAATCCCAACAACTATAAAGGAAATTATTTGTCATAATTGGAGACATTTGAATAAAAGTGTATATGAGATAACACAGGTATGCCAATGTTAACTTTCCTGAGTGTAATAATTATATTGTAGTTATATATGAAAATGTTCTTGTTCTTAAAAGAGCTATGCTGAAGCATTACATGGCGAAGTGTCATGATGCCTACAAATAATTCTCAATAATTCACAAAAAAGGACCCTCAAATGATTCACCAAAATACACACACACACACACACACACACACACACTCACATATGATATGAGTGTGTGCACACATGAGAGAAAAAACGTGGCAAAATGTTAACAATTTGATGAGTCTAGGTGAAAGATATATGTATATTCATTATACTTGTCTTACATTTTTCTCTGATAAAATTTTTTTCTAAATAAAAAGTTGTTGAAAAGATCTTTAAAAAGAATATTATGAATTCAGGATTATTTTGATTGCTTATTAAGATACACAGTATTTAGAATTTTTATGGTAGCAACTAAAATTTCTTCAAATTTTCTTTTTTCATTACCTTCTTTTATCTCTGCTTGCCTTTCCCTTCACTGCCATCTTTCAAAAAGAGCCATCAATTCATGAATTACATGTACAAATATTTCAACAAATTCTGCTTATGCCTAATATGGACTGAATTGCTTCTTTAAACAGTATACTTCTCTCATAGGAACTCTTATATACATAAATAATCCTATAAAGCCTTCCCCCTTTTTTTAAGCTAAAAGTTTATTAGTTTTATTGAAGCCATTCATATATATATCTGGAATATATTTTAATTTCCCTGGGATTTTTACTTCTTATCCTTTAATATTCTTTTAGTCCTAGACAAAAGCAGAGCCGAAAATATCTCTGAAAATAGTTAAACTATTGCTTTATTTTATAAAGAACTAGGGGAAAATAGGTTCTGGATTACAAATAAGTGATATTTACAATTATAAAGTAACTAGAGGCCTGGTGCATGGATTTGTGCACATTGAAAGTAAATTAATTAGAAGATTGCTGGTGGGGATGGGAACTGGGTGAGACTGGCTGGACATGGCCTGGAGCCAACCTTCCTCAGTCCCTCCCCAACCAGCCACACTTGGAGTGGAGCGGGGCTTGAAGGGCATCTACGGAGTGATCGGGGTCCTTCTGGCAGGTGTGTTCCCTTTTGGCCTGTGAGGATTGGGCCAAAGCTGGCTCTCTGACATCCCCCAAGGGGTCCTGGGTTGTGAAAGAGTGGTACTTGGGTGACACACTCTGGAATCAGGCTCCCTCCACTCTGGTTCTGGGTGCATCACCTGAGAACCACAGCTGCCAAGTCACTGAAGCTCAGCAGCTCCTGCATTGAGCGTCTGCCCCCTGGTGGTCATTGTGCATCACAGCCACTGGTTGGACAGTCACTTAGGCTTTTATATATATAGACTAGAGACTTAGTGCATGAAATTCATGCATTGGGGGGTCCCTCAGCCCAGCCTGCACCCTCTTGCAATCCAGGACCTCTCAGGGCGTGTGGGATCGGGCCTAAACTGGCCATCAGACATCCCTCTTGCAATCTGTGACCGCTGGCTCCTAACCGCTCTCCTGCCTGCCTGATTGCCTCTAACTGCCTCTGCACCTGGGACTCAGGCTTCCTTCCTCAGACTGGCCAAAGGTAACTGGGATGTGGGCTTCCTTCCCTCTGGCCGGCCACAGGCACCTGGGATCCAGGCTTCCCTCCCTCTTGGTGATTACAGGCACCTGGGACCTGGGCCAGCTTTGCCTGAGTTGGCCAAAGGCACCCGGGTCAGCTTGGCCTGGGCAGGCACCAGGGACCAAGGGTGGCTTCCCTGCTTCTGGATGGGGCCGCAGGCATCCGGACTGTGACCTCAGTGGCTTCCCTGCCTCTGGGGAGGCTTCCCCTGGGCCGGGCCCCGGCTTTTATCTGGAAGGACATCCAGAAGATGTCCAGTCGATCCAGTCTAATTAGCATATTACCCTTTTATTAGTATAGATATTAACTGTGCAGTAAAGAGATTTGTGATATATTTGTGCCTACATCAGGACTGATTATATTGGAATTGTTTTCTATTCTACACTTTAATCCTCTGTTATTAACCTTTGTGAAATACAAAAGCAGAATATTGGGGCTTACGTCATAGTTGCTCCTGGATCAGCAGTCATTTGATTGGTCACAAACACAGCCACATTATATTCTGCATCAAGAAATAAAATTAAGAAAGTAAAATAATGGCAAAGTAAATATAAGAAGTTCTTTGCTTAGATTTCAGAAGGTAGGAATATTGTAGCTTGTTTTATAAACAAAATTATATTCATATTTTTCTTCAATTACATAAATTGAGTCAAAGTTATTATTTAGATACCTTATTGTATTAGAATCAATGTTTTTTTAAAGAGCAGTATTCCCATGAAAGAAATTTTATTTTTAGAAAATGTATTGCTTCCTGACATTATTCTGAGCTTCTCTGCAAAGTCTACTCAGGAAACAGTCACAGATGCTATTCTGATAGTGCTATTAAAATTTACCTTCTGAGATTTTTTGGAGTCGTGATAGCATCTGGGCCAACTTTTGTTGTCGTTCAGCCAACTCCCCACGACCACTGAAATCCACTCGAAAAAGTGCCATTATCGAATCAATGATCTGCACAGAATTCATGCAAAAATAAATATGCATTTGGAAAGGAAGAAGTTAATATGAATCAAAATCAATAAAAGAAAAATAATATACTAAATAGCTCTGTGAATGAGCAATATTTAAAAGCTTGTACCAACAGCTTGAATATGCCACCTTCTTCATGGAATTTTGCTGCTACATAGTCAAGTAGCTCCATCTGATGTTCACCTGGTGGGAAATGCAGTGAGAAAATGTTATAAAAGCTGGAAGAAGCAGAGGCAAAAATCAGTTATGTCTTTGGCAGTCAGGCAAAGAGAATCCTGGAAGGATTTCTTTTTTTTATCCTCACTCGAGGATATTTTTTCCATTTATCTTTTTTTAAAATTTTTAAAATTGATTTTAGAGAGGAAGGGAGAGAGATAGAGAGATAGAAGCATCAATGAGAGAGGAACATCACCCATCAGCTGCTCCTGCATGCACCCCTACCATGGATAGAGCCCACAAACCCGGGCCATGTGCCCTGACCAGGAATCCAACTAGTGACTTCTTAGTTTCTGGGTCAATGCTCAACTGTTGAGCCACACCAGCCAGGCTCCATTGATCTTTAGAGAGAGAGTGGAAGGGAGAGAAGAGGGAGAGAGAAAAAAAGAGAGAGGAAAATTGATGTGAGGGAAACATTGATTGGCTGCTTCCCGCTGGGGCTGAGGAACCTGCAAAGGAGGTACATGCCCTTGGCTGGGAATTGAACCTGAGACCCTTCCTTCCGTGGCTGATGCTCTAACCAATGGGGCAAACCAGTGAGGCAAAATTTTCTTTTTAAAAATATTTTTGTATAGATTCCAGAGAGGAAAGGAGAGGGAGATAGAAAAATTAATGAGTGCGAATCATTGATTGGATGCCTCCTGCGTGCCCCACAATGGGGATCGAGCCTGAAATTCGGGCATGTGTCCTGACCAGGAATCAAACCATGACCTCTTGGTTCATAGGTCGATGCTCAACCACTGAGTCAAACCAGCCTGGAAGGATTTTCTTAGTTATTTAAATTATTTAACTTTATTAAATAATAGAGGCCTGGTTCATGAAATTTTGTGCCCTCGGGGGGGTTGGGGGGGTCTCTCAGCCCAGCCTGTGCCCTCTCGCAGTCCAAGAGCCATCGGGGGATGTCTGATTGATGCAAAGGCAGGAGAGGCTCCCGGTCACCACTGCTGCGCTTGCCACCCATGAGCCTAGCTTAGGGCTTCTGGCTGAGTGGCTTTCCCCCTGTGGGAGTGCACTGACCATCAGGGGGAGCTCCTACATTCAGCGTCTGCCCCCTGGTGATCAGTGCGTGTCATAGTGACTGGTCTTTGGGCAGTTCAGTCAATTTGCATGTTAGCCTTTTATTATGTAGGATGACTTCATATTCTGCATTAGCATACATGCCAAATGCTACATTACCCATGATGCTCTCCATTTCAAACACAAAGGTAAGAAATAATTTCAGGGCATTTTAATATCTAAGGACTTACCAGATGATACAATTTGTGGACTAAATTAATTTGGAGAAAAGTAAAATAAAAAGAGAAAATAACAGTGTCAAAAGGTTGTGATTATTACTCAGGTAGTAAATCAGTGCTGCCAACCTTAAAACCACCCAGCATGCAATTGCATGGGGTCCTTACTAGTATATGCACGTGCATAAAGCACATTGTCCAGGACTGCATCATGGTCCACGTTGAAGCGGTCAGCAATGTCCCGGAGGCGATCTGGACGGCTGGAAGGTGCCAAAATTAAGGAACTAATACAGCAATTCTAAAAAAGTTTAGACAACTACAAAAATAATACTGTCAGGAAATGAACAGAGAGGCAAAATGATGTGCCTGCAAAGGTATTCTGGAGGATACTAATTATCACTTCAAATCTACACCACATTTTATTTTTCATTAGTGCCTCAATGAATACCTTAGGTAGTGATAATGGTGAGAGAAATGATAAAGCTGTAAGCATTTAAATGTTAACTTATCTAATGTTTACGATAACCATGGAAGCCAACTGTATGGTCTATATTATATTTTACAAATGAGGACACTGACAGAGATTAAGCAAATGACTCAGGATATGCAGCAAATCAATTATAAGAGAAAAACTAAAGATTTGTGAATCTCATTTGTTCTCAATTCTATAATAGTTGTATTCTAGGAATATAATATTACTGAGTTATAATTTAAGTTACTTCAAAGTGAATTAATTCATTCTGTTCATACTCGTCACTTGTTCAATATGAAATAGCTTATTACACCATTAATCATGTTTTGCCAGTGAATGGTAAATTTAACTACTTGAACCAAAGGGTCAGAAAGGTAACTTCAAAGGTCATAAGGGAATTACCAACCTTCTTCTAAGGAGTTGTGCTAGCTTTCTGAAATTAGTAAATTCATAGGGAAGCAAATTCAGTGTACCTGCAAAGGTATTCTGGAAGATGCTAATTATCACTTAGATCTAACTAAACTGCAAAGGAATAAAAACGTTTTTCACCATGTCAGTCTTTACAAAACTTGGTTAGTATATAACCAGAAGTATAAAAATCGTGCTTATGCCGAAACCGGTTTGGCTCAATGGATAGAGCGTCGGCTTGGGGACTGAAAGGTCCCGGGTTCTATTCCGGTCAAGGGCATGTACCTTGGTTGTGGGCATATCCCCAGTGGGGGGTGTGCAGGAGGCGGCTGATCGATGCTCTCTCTCATTGATGTTTCTAACTCTCTATCTCTCTCCCTTCCTCTCTACAAAATCAATAAAATATATTTTTAAAAAATCGTGCTTATGCTGAAGGGAAGTTCAAATCAATCTACAAAGACCATATGAAATAAATCACCATAATCATAAATTACCAATGCAAGGCATTATGGTGCATATAAAGAATCATAAGATAATCCATACCAAAAAGTATGCATAAGACATAATTAAGTAGGCAAAATATAAACATTAAAAAGAAAAATATCAAGAGAGAACCACTGAAAGAATGAAAACATTCTACTGAGCACTCATGTGTCCTTGTCCCTCCCTACTCGTTCTTGTATAGGACTTGGCTCCTGTTTCTCTTTACCATTCTTGATAAAATCCAAATTGCCCAAACAGTGGTTTTTAATCTGCAAGAACAATTCCTCTCTCTCTGAGAACCATCCTTAAATAGCTATTTCTGAAACTGGCTGGAGCCCAGCTGAGGAGCTCTTCTTATCACAGCCCTCTACAACATTCCACCCTCCTTCCCCAAGTTAGAAACTTCCACAGAGTCTTCTTATGCCCTGTATTTCCAAATAAAGTATTCTGCAAACAGTTCTCTGGTGTTTTTCTTCTACTCGAGTTTTTTTTTGGATAGTAAATTTAGAGGATTTGTATGATCCAGAAACACTGTGAAGTGGGGATAGAGGGAGCAAACACCCAAATAGGATAGAAATATACCATGCAAATTTGTATGTGACAGGCCAAATGAACATTTAAGACTGAGAGCAAAATAATGCATCTTCAGAATGCCAGAGCTCAAGTTTACCATCTCATTACTTTTCTGATAAAATGACTTGAGTAGGTACTCCAGGAAAATAGAAATACAGGAAAGATTTGGGATGCAAAAAACAATAATGAATAAAAAAAACTCCACGAGAATCTGAATAGTTAAGTCTAAATAATTTAAACTCTTCTTTTTGCTCATCCTTCACATCCAGATATCCTCCTACTTCCTCTCTCTCTCTATGGTTTCTTCTTTTAAGTCCTTTCTAAATACTGGCATACCCCAAAGTTGTGTTCTCAGTTCTCTCTTCTCTCTAAGTTCTCTTGCCCCCGTGGCTATTACATCCATATCTCTGGGTCACATCCCTTTCTTAAGCTGAGTCCAACGTTTGCAACTGCCATGTGAATGTCTTCCTGTACCTCACATTCAACACATTAAAATGAAACACCACCTTTTCTCTGAAACATGATCTGCTCGATTCTGTCATTAGCAACATGATTCTCCCATTGTCTACACAAAAAACCTTGTATGGTTTCTCTCACCTCTTTCCTTTGTCTACCAAATACCTTCATCAAGTACTAGCAATTTTCATCCCTAATATTTCTTATCCTTTTCTTTTTATCTCTACTGCTTCCAACCTAGATCAAGTTCTCATTACTTGCCAAGATATTGCAAAAGTATCTAATTTATACTCATCATCTGCTGGAAAACAAATCAGTTTCACTAAAAAAGAGATGTTGACAGGAAGCCATGAAGGCTGGTCAACAACCTTAATTGCTCTAACCTTTAGTTGAGATATTGTTAGCTGAAGCAGAATCTACCTTGTTTGTCCCATGAAAGTTTCTGTTATTTCCTGCCTAATGGCTACATGTAAATTTCTGTTTATGTTGCCTAAGATGTTTTCCCCAAAGCCTCAATAAAAGGGGATGGCAGGGCCTGATCAGGGAGTAGTTCTCCCACTAGAGTTGGACTACTGCCTGGCCCCTCATATCACCAAATTGAATTTCTTCAAGTCTCTTCATTTGTGTGCGGCCCTTCTCCAGAACCTGAACCCTGAATTGGAACTCTTTCTATGCAGGCCATGAAAGAGAGTCCTATAATCATCCATCTGGTTTTTAAGCCTTTTATGTTTAAGACTAAAATCACCTTACATTCTGGAGTACCTTTCACTTCAAATTCTTTGTTATCTAATCAGGTTCTGAGAAATCAAGATGACGGCATAGATAAACACCTGAACTGCTGCCTTGCACAACAATTTCAAAACTACAACTAAAAGACAAAACAGACATCATCCAGAACCACAGAAAGGCTGGCTGAGTAGAAATTCTACAACTAGAAGGAAAGAGAAAAGCACACTGAGACTCAGAGGAGCTGCGGAAGTTAAGTGCAGAGGTATGAAGGCATGCGTGGAGAGGGCTTGTAACTGAGTACATGGCTGGCTTTCTCAATCAGGAGGGAAACAAAAGTTCCTGACTGCTCTAACTCCAGTTTCGGGTGAGACTCTGGGGACCTAGACTCATATGGGGAGAAACTGGACTGTCTGGCAACAGGCAAAACTCGAGGGTGGCTTTCTCTCAGAGGTGCTTGCAGCAGTTACCACAGGACACCGAGACACAGGAGCCTATTAGGGCAGGGCTGATGGGAAACTGGTGCTGTCTGCTCCGCCCTGAGCCTCCGCCCATCCAAGCTAAGCACAGAGGCTTTTGCAAGACTTATCTCATAAGCGTGTCTCCAGCACAGAAGTTCTCCTATTGTAGACACAGCTGATCCTCACAGCCAATTGGAGGTCAATTCCTCCCAGTGATACCAACAACAATAAAGGCTTAACTACAACAAGACTGGGCACACAGCCCACAAAGGGGTGCACCAAGAGGGTCCACCTCAGGTAACTTGGGAGGCTGGGCCACTGGATCCTATATGACACCTAGCACACAAAGCCACTCTTATCAACTCAGGGAAGCAGCCAAAATGTAGAGACAAAGAAATAGGTCACAAATGAAAGAAATGGAGGAAAGCAAATGACTGGATATAGAGTTAAACCATGATTATAAGGTTTTTCAAAAATTTTCTAGAAAAGGCCGATAACCTTAGTGAGACCCTCGAGGATATGAAAAAGGACCAACTAGAAATTAAGCATACACTGACTGAAACAAAGAATAATATACAGAGATCCAACAGCAGACTTGAGGATCACAAGAATCAAATCAAAGATTTGAAATTCAAATAAGCAAAAAACATCCAACTGGAAAAAACAAAGAAAAAGAATCCAAAAATATAAGATAGTGTAAGGAGCCTCTGGGACTACTTCAAGTGCACCAGAATCAGAATTATGTGAGTGCCAGAAGAAGAGAGAGAGCAAGACACTGAAAACCTATTTGAAGAAATAATGACAGAAAAATTCCCCCACCTGGTGAAAGAAATAGACTTACAAGTTCAGGAAGCACACAGAATCCCAAACAAAAGGAATCCAAAGAGGACCACATCAAGACACATCATAATTAAAATGCCAAGAGCAAAAGACAAAGAGAGAATAATAAAAGCAGCAAGAGAAAAAGTTAGTTATCTACAAGGGAGCACCCATATGACTGTCAGCTGATTTCTCAACAGAAACTATGTAGGCCATACGGGAGTGGCAAGAAATATTCAAAGTGATGAATAGTAAGAACCTACAACCAAGATTACTCTCCCCAGCAAAGCTATCATTCAGAATTGAAGGTCAGATAAAATGCTTCACATGTAAGAAAAAGCTAAAGGAGTTCATCACCACCAAACCAGTATTATATGAAAAGCTGAAAGGTATTCTTTAAGAAGAAGAAGAAAAAAGGTAAAGATAAAAAGTATGAACAACAAATACATATCTATCAACAAGTGAATCTAAAAATGAAGTGAATTAAAAGAACCTGATGAACAGAATAAATTGGTGAATATAATAGAAACAGGGGCACAGAAAGGGAGTGGACTACAATTCTAGGGGGGAAGGGATGTGGGGGTGTGGGAAGAGACTGGACAAAAATCATACACCTATGGATGAGGACAGTCGGGGGAGGGTAAGGGCAGAGGGTAGGGTGGGAACCAGTTGGAGGGGAGCTATGGGGGGGAAAAGAGGAACAATTGTAATAATCTGAACAATAAAGATTTATTTAAAAAAATAAAATAAACAAAATCTGCCCTTTTCCCTTCTGTGCTTGTGCTCCTTTCATACATTTCCCCTTATTCTGAACCACATTCTAAGTGAGCTAATAATCTTCTGTCTACTTATAAGTAAAACTAGAGGCCCAGTGCACAACATTTGTGCACTTAGGGTGGGGGTGGGAAATACAAATGAATATGTATTTTCCTCAACCCAGCCTGTGCCCTTTCATAGTTTAGGAGCCCTCAGGGGATGTCAGACTATTCGCAAGGAACGGGCCTAAGCTGCAGATGGACATCCTTAGTGCTGCCATGGAGGTGGGCTGCTGCACTCACCTGTGGGAGCTCACTGACCACCAGGGGGCAGATCCTGCATTGAGCATCTGCCCCCTGGTGGTCAGTGCATGTAATAGTGACTGGTCGTTCCATTGTTTGGTCGATTTGCATATTACCCTTTTATTATACAGGATATTTGGAGAAGAGGATTAAAAATGAATATGTATTTTCCTCTCAAGTATTTGTTTTGTCAATTTCACAGCAAATCCTTTCAGAGAAATAAAATCTTTTTAAATAAAAAGTGATTTGAGATCTTGACCAGCAATTATTTTTCCCTTGGGTTTTCTCATTATTGCTGGTTTCTGAGATGATTATAAAAATGATATATTTCAAACAAACCCTTTTATAGTAACATTACTATATCACACTACTATGACAGCAAGTTTTTTAAATAAAAAGGTTACAAAGTATTTTCTGTATCGATGAAGATAATCTTTCCTCCCGAGTAGCCACCTGCTCCTGGAAGTTGAGCTGTCACTAGGAAGCAATTAAGAGTTAATTAATATTAATAGGAATGAATACATTTTAAACAAATAAATACATAAATTAAAATGGGATTTATGCTGGTTGCAGTTCTTTAGTTAAGCTAGCAAAAAATAATGATCCTTTAGTTTCTAATCAGCATGTTATATTTTTATATTACTAATTTATGGCAAAATTAAAGCATTCTGCCAGCAGAATAGTAATTCATCAAAGAATGTCAACATCTCTCCCAAGGGGAGATATTCATGAAAGGTAGTTCTCCTAAAGAATAGAGATAGAATTCACTAACTTTCTTATAAGAAATAATAACAAATATAATTTATGCTGTATAATTCATTTAAGTAATATTTTGATTAATTTTAGTCAAAATTTAAAATGCATTTTCTTTCTATGTAGTAGTAGTTCATACTAAGGAATTATTTTACATTAAGTACATGCATTATTTCATTTACTTTTCAAAACAACCCTAAATTACTATCATTATTCCTCTTTTACTGATGGGGACAATTAGGAAGGTGAAGCAACTTGCCCAAGTAACACAGCTATTAACGGTAGAGTCAAGAATGAAGCCAGGTATTTTGGTTCCAGAATCCCTTTCTTACCCATTTTTCCATGCCCCTTGTACTTAAGTCCAAGAAATGCACAATAATGCCTTTGTGCAAAATGAAGTGTTTTTACTTACTCTGTTTTAGAAAAATTTATTTTTAAGTCTGTCTTAGGGTGAACCTTACTCAAGGGATCCTAGGCCTCAATAGATTTTGTGACATTCTTGAAGATACAACATAGAAAAGATAGAACAGGAAAAATTGAGACAGTAAAACCTCTCCCCACCAATACAATTTACCTCAACCTTATTTCCATTCAGGTGTTCAGAGTGCAGCATTTCACCTCAAGCATCACACATTCAAAGACTAGCTTTGGTATCTGTGTAACTATGGGCAGTTAACCTCTCTGAGATTTCTTTTCCTTGTAAATCTGTTCAGATTACATGATATTATATAAAGTATCAGGCACAATTTAGATTAGTAAGTAACAGCTATGATTATTTTTGTTGTTGTAGTTATTATTATTATTATTATTACTTGTTGTTGTTGTTGTTAATCCTCACCAGATATTTTTCCCTTGATTTTTAAAGAGTGGAACGGAGAGGGAAAGAGAAAGAGACAGAGAGAGAAACACTGATGTGAGAGAGACAAATCGATTGGCTGCCTCTTACAGGTGCCCTAATCAGGGCTGGGGATGGAGCCTGCAACTGTGGTACATGCCTTTGACCATCATCAAACCCGGGAGCCTTCAGTCTGAGGGCTGATGCTCTATCCACTGAGCCAAAGCGGCTAGGGCTTTGTTATTATTATTGTTGTTATGTATCCTTACCACAGAGTGTATGAGAGAGCTGGGTTTTTCCAGTACGAAATTCTGTGAAATATAGAAAACAAAAACCCATAGTTAAGTTTTAGATATTTTCTTAAATAATAAAATATCGCCTCAGAGTATAGTTTCCTTTTCCAACAGTCAAATTTTACACATAAAGTACCACATCATGGAATGGATTCTGCATATATGAATACCAGTAGTAAAAATAACTTTTAAAGGTATTTTTTTCACAGAATTGCCCTTTGGATAAAGATTAAGTTAAACAAAATTTTCCTTAGGAATAGTCATATAAACGAGAGTTTAAGATTCTACCATAGGAAAGCCTGGGGTTCTCCCACTGAGCTGAGATCCTCAAAGGAGAACTGAAGTAGCCTCATACTGGAGGTATCCCCTAACCACCAAAACAGCACATCCTCTCTGGAGGAAAACTTGCCCTCCCACCACTTTCGGCCCACTGAACTCCCACAGATTAAAGTCAAGCAATGATCCCACAAATATCAATACATATACAAGACAATAAGCCACTAAGACTAAGATAATAAAAATAGAAACAATGAAAACCAGATATATTTCTCCAAGTCAACAAAAACATCAACTAAACAACATATTTAATTCCCCCAGGGCTGCAAGTACTGGAATTGTCAGACATAGTATATAATATAGTTATGCATGAATTTTTTTGAAGAAAAAATAGAGGATATAAACAGGGAAGAGAAAATCTACTATGTTCACTCTACATGCATTTCTTAGAAATACGATTTGTTTCATTATTCAACTTTCTTTTGAAAGAATGTAAAAAAATTCAACTATGTTCTATAGAAGTCAGAGATAAAACAATTAAAAATGTCAATAAGATCCATCTATTAATATTGGAATATATTTTAATTGTAGCATAGAATAATCCTGTATTATGAGAATTGATATTTTTAAAATATATATTTTATTGGTTTTTTTACAGAGAGGAAGGGAAAGGGATAGAGAGTTAGAAACATCGATGAGAGAGAAACATCAATCAGTTGCCTCCTGCACACCCCCTACTGGGGATGTGCCCACAACCAAAGTATATGCTCTTGACTGGAATTGAACCTGGGACCCTTCAGTCTGCAGGCCACTGCTCTACCCACTGAGTAGAACAGTTTAGGGTGAGAATTGATATTTTATCATAATTTCTAAATTAGATATAATTTACTATTGGTTGTTTATTTAATTGTACAATATGTGTATGTTTGTGTATATATATGTGTATGTATAATTTCCCCCCAATAACAAAATATTAAGGTTCTGCTTACCTCCAAAAGCTTCTGTGATTGCCATACTTTCAATTCCACCTCCTAGCAACTTACTGGAAATAGAAAGCAAGCATTAGTAATAGGAACAGAAATAGAGAAATCAAGAGAGGAGAAAGCATTAATACCATTTATTTCTATATCTATCTGTCTATATCTAGTTAACATGAACAGGAATTCTTGGCTGAACAAATAGTACACCACCTGTTAAATAACAGGTTCTACTGTGTGAGGGCTGGTGGATCAACAGAACAACTTGTAAGCCCTGCTGTTCTTATTTCTGGTACCAATAGGAAATGGGCATTATAAGCCTTATGTCTCAGTTCTGATCTTTAGAGCTGAATTGGAGTTTGAATAAATAGTCTTATTACTAACTGCATTTTTCATATTGTGCTAGAACTATGTTTCTAAAAGTCAACTATTCATTTTTTTAAAAAAATATACTGAGAAACATGAAAAGTAGATATTAGGAAAAAGGAAATGATAAGTTAAACATTTAAAAAATTAGTTTAAAAATTAGTTTAGCCTAATTTTAAAAATTAGGCCGATTGCAGTAACTATATATATTTTTGGTCTGAAGTACTTATAAGAAATTTAATCTTGTTTCTATAAGTAGCTTAAAATTTATTTGCTAGTTGCCTTTTGAAAAAATACACACACAAAAAACTACTTCAAAAGAAGAAGCTATTTCTACTAGTATGTTTGGTAGAAACAACAGCCAGATAGAGAAAAATAAATATAGTATTTCAAAGATTATGCTTAGTGGTTATACAATATATGAGATACACACTCAAATTCCTGGCTCCCAGTGGTAATATGGAAAACCATTTTCCTCTTCTCACTATACTCAAATGCAGTCAAGAATCCTGGCTCCTTCAGAAAGATAAAAAGGAAAGGTTTTAAAAGGGTATAAGGTGATGGTTTTAATTTTAAATGCTGCCAAACTATAGACTTGGTTATCAGGATCATTATTTGATATAAGCTACAGTTCATTTGTCTTTGAAGGCAGCACAAGGTCATAGATAAGAACACAGGCTTTTGAGCCACCCTACCTAGGTTCAGTGGCCCCAGAAGCTCTACACAAAAACTTGACTAAAGCCTATGTTTTTGTTTGGAGCCTGTCAGCAACATGGACCTCTCATAGTTTGTAGGCCCAAAGGTATGGGTTTGGCTCAGCTTTAGCTCAGCTGCCACAGTGAGCATATTCTTGGTCTGATCTGTCTCAACTGTATACATCCACTGTTAGTCTTTTTCTAACCCAGTGCTCTCTTATCAATTGGTCTATACCAGGAGAAAGTAACTTCTTTGGTGCTCAGTGCATTACAACAGCTATGATACATTTGAGAAGACAAAACAAAAATGAGGAGGAATATAAAAAAATAAAAAATAAAAAGGAGAAGAAAAGGCATAGAAAAAGAAATATAAAGAGAGACAAAAAGAAAAGTTTGGTAAAAAATAATTACCTTCATAGTGTTCCAGGTCTCTTAACCCTGCCTTAATCTTTCAGAAATTAATTGGGAAAATAGTACACTATGATCTACAGTAACTTAGAGTTCCCACAATGGGTTCTGGTGTTCATAATGAAAAAGGCTACAGAAACTTATAGAACCCTTTTCTAAGCTAAAACAACAAAGAACGGATTTTGCTCACAATAAGTTTGTTGGCTGCCTCTTTAATCTTGTCCACTTTGGCTTCTGAGAGCCCTTTGACATTGCATAGGGCTCTTTTGGTTGTCATTTGTATCCCTTTGATGGTACAGATTCCTACCGACTTCAATTTTTTAATGTCAGCCACATTCTGTAAATAAAAGAATGGATATTGATAAAATACCAGGCTGAAAAATTCCCATAGTATGTACTTTTGTGTCCATCTCCTTCCACCGTGATGCCAATTTTATACAAGCAACCAGGTGGAACCCACCCACCATGTAGCCAAATGTTCTGGAAATGTCTGAGTAGAACATACCCAGCACACAGCCAAATGTTCTGGCTGTGCCCTGCTTTCCCAAGAACGTTAGTGGGACCTCGGCAATGAAACAAGGAATTCAAAAGAAAAGTCTGTTGGTAGAAAAGCTAAGCTAATTTATCACACATTCACCCCCTCAGTTCTCCTTCCTTCTATAAAACTTCATTACTAATGTATTCTTTTACAATTTAAAAAAGATTTTTTCCCCCCCTCTATCCTTGGAGAATGCAAATAACTATATCACCAAAGGACTAGAATTTTCTCTTGTTCCTATTTTCTAAACTTAGCCAAAAGAGATAAAATGTGATGCTTCAAAAAAAGATAATATCATAGAAGTTTTCTATCAACTAATTGCTGTTGAAATTCATTTAGTTTGTTATTCACAGTCTGGATTTCTGTAAACATTATTTTACTCTAATCATTTGACACAGAACTGAATTTTCTGCTGATGAAGACAGTAGCTGCAGAGAGCTTTGAATACCTCCAGGTGAACCAGTGGTTCTCAAACGTGGGCAATTTTGCCCCCTGGGGATACTTGACAATGTCTGGACAAATTTTAGTTGTGCTACTGGATATAGTGAGTGGTTAGGAGACATGGATGTTACTAAACATCCTACAATGCATAGGACAGCTCCCCACAATAAAGAATCGCCCAGTCCCAAATGTTCAATAAAGTCAAGGCTGAGAAGCCCTGAATTGGACAATTTCACACAGCATTAAAAAAAATACTTACAATTCCATATTTTTGTAACAGGTCGATATCTTGAAACAAAGATTCCTAAAGGAGTATAAACAAACAAAAAAAAAATGGAGCTTTGATTATTCATATTCAACTGTTTAGCACCTTTTAAAGAGTTCATTCAATATTATGGTCACTCCAAATTCCTAAAATTCCACTTCTCCAGACAGAGATACGACCAATAATACTTTACAAGCATTTTGTTACATACTTCGAAGAGCTAACATCGAAAGGGCTAGAAAATCAAATAGTTTTGCCATGGCCTAAGACCTTCGCCCACAGGAATGGAACAACATTTAACCTATTTTAAAATATGTTTTCTCAGCCTTCTTCCCCACCAGACCCTGCACGCCTTCCTCTGCTATGTGTTACCAGTATGCACAGGAACCAGTATGGCCTTACCAGTGGTTAATGAAATTATCCCATGCCAGTTGCTAAATAGCTAATCTTAGCACCCCTTGCTAAACAAGTTGTTACATATTTGTAATATTGTCTCTCTCTAGATCTAGGTTTTACTTCTATTCAGTTTCTAAATATAGTGCTAACAGGAGGAGCTTCATTTTTCTGGCATGACTGAATGTCTGCATATCTTTCAATAGTCTTGTCATACCTCATCATCTTGGAATCCTGGTTCCTCCAGCACAACTTGATCCTCCTTCATGTTGAAAGGAGAGCAGCAGAAAAAAACAACACACCACCCAATTCTGAGAAAACAAGAAATATTATTTAAGTAGTCATAGCCGAAACCGGTTTGGCTCAGTGGATAGAGCGTCGGTGTGTGGACTGGGGGGTCCCAGGTTCAATTCCGGTCAAGGGCATGTACATTGATTGCGAGCACATCCCCAATGGGGAGTGTGCAGGAGGCAGCTGGCCAATGTTTCTCTCTCATTGATGTTTCTGGCTCTCTAACCCTCTCCCTTCCTCTCTGTAAAAAATCAATAATTAATATATATAGTCTTAGATTATACACCATAAAATCCTTTGCCCAGAGGCCTTCTTGATTTTATTTCAAAGTCCAGAAGAATAATTAGAGAAACATTTGGCTAGCCTATATTCTTTCTGCTGAGCATGTGGAATTCTCTTTTGTGAGGATATATGTGGGGTGGAGATTTAAATTTCTTCTCTCTCTCCTCAAAACTGGTCATTTTTTTAATATCTTTTGATTTCCTATAGCACAACTAATTATGACTGTCTGATATCTCTTTGTTATCTTGAAATGTTATCTAGAATTGCATACTGCTGTTTAACTTTTCCTGTTTATGTTAATAACACTCTAAGAACTTTGACCTTATTCTTCCTGTATCCTCCCTGGCGCCTAGAACTTAGTCTACCCTCACTAGATAGGTTTTATTTTCCTCATAAAATATGAGTACCTTTCTGCTAGTTAATGGGCTCTCTTGTAACATGTATCTTTTTGCTTCATAGAACATTAGGTGTATTTTGTACTTACTAATTTTATAAAGATTTAAAATTACAGTGGCTTCTCTCTCTCTCTCTCTCTCTCTCTCTCTCTCTCTCTCTCTCTCTCTATATATATATATATATATATATATAAAAGACTACTATGCAAAGTGTTCCCTCCGGAGTTGGACCAGGAGACTGGAGTTTGAGCACTTGCTATGACGTGCACTGACCACCGGGGGCAGCAGGGAAGGAAGGAAGGAAGGCCCTGATTGCCAGCCAGGCCTAGGGACCCTACCCACACACAAATCTTGTTCACCCGGCCTCTAGTCCATAATAATAAAAGCGTAATATACTAATTAGGCTGGACAGCCAAACGACCTTCCTGACGAAATCAAAGCTGCGAGGGCCGAGCATATGATAAAATTAGGGCCAAGAAACAGAATCCAACAGCCATTTAGCACTGTAGCTGTTGTTTTAAGATCTCAGGAATCTACAAGCCCTGGCTGTATTTATTAGAATAAAATGTGGTCCAAGTAATTCCTTTGGGGGGGAGTCTAGACTATCTCACTTACTTCTAAAGTCGGGGTTCGGGGCCTAGAGAAGGGAAGGAACTGCTCACAGAGAGGTATGGCTGCTACCACCTATGCTTCTAAACAGCCAAGTAGCCGAGGCAAACGAGACCGTGTGCGTGGGATCTCCCAGAATACCGTCCCTCAGTCCATCAGACGCATTATTACCAAGGTTCCACACTTACTGCCCTCATGAACGAAAACAAAAATCACCCGTTTCTTCTCCCCTTGGAAAAATGGAAAAATTGTTCTCTCTCTCAAGAAGCAAGTGATGGGTTGGATGTGGGCCCCTCAGTCGCGTGTGGGGAGCGCAGGCCGCGCACGGAGCGGCGGCCCGGGCGGCTCCCCGGACATGTTCCCGCCTGGTTCCCTCAGGAGAGGCCTTGGGGCCTTTCAGGACGGAGGAGCCCGGATTTAACATCGGGATGCTGGAGACCCCTCGAGATCCCTGGGGTTCCCTCCCGGGGCTGAGGGCGGGCAACCAGCTCCGAGCCTTGGAGACCGAGAAGCCTGGCGCTTTCCCTCAGGTTCTTCACACGCTTCCTTCTTTGCTACAAACCCCGCCCGACCCCACAGTGTTCGAGGTTCTTGAAGTGAATCCCTTCCGCCCCCCCAGCGGGCTTCCCAGGCCTCAGGGATTCTGATTTAGAACGCGAACCCGGAGACGCGCCTCGCACCTCACGGACCAGGAGGCTGCGTTCCAACTGGCGGCAACTGGCACGCGCCGGGCGAAGACGCCTGGAGGGCCGAGGGGGCGTGGCTGCGCGAGGGGCGTGGCTGCGCGGGGGGCGGGGTTTTCGCGGGGGGGGCGGGGCGGGCCCCAGGGGCACGGAGGAGAACGTTGAGATCTGGAGGTGCCAGAGCTGAGGTGGGCGCGGAGGGAGCACAGGCAGCTGTGAGAAAGAAGCCCTAAGGTGGGGGCTGTCCGGGGATGAAGAGACCCCTGGGAAGGGGACAGGAAGTGGCAGACCGCGAGGCGGAGGAGCGGTGCTGAGGGAGGTGGCTGACTTACCCTGCTCAGGACGGAGGTTAGGTAGGAGGACGGATGTGGGGCTCTTTTCCTCCTGCTCCAGGCTTTTATTTCACTCCCAGGTTTTCATTCCTGGCATTGCTAACTGGCCTCACTAAAAAACTCAGGGTTTCCTACTGTCCCTTTCTTCTCTATGACTCTCTCACCATTTGCCACCCGCTAGTTTGCGAGTGAGGCACCCAAAGCCCATTCAGGATGTAGTTTGTTTCGTCTTAACTTGAAATTTAATTAAAGGATAGAGCAATCTTTTCTTTTCTAATATATTCTTAGTACTTTCAGGGACAAAGAGAGATATTAACATCAATGATGAGAGGGAATCATTGATTGGCTGCCTCCTGCATGCTCCCCACTGGGAATCAAGCCCACAACTTGGGCATGTGCCCTTGAATGGACTTGAACCTGGGACCCTTGAGTCCGCAGGTCCACCTCTTTCCACTGAAGCAGACTATCTAGGGCACAACGTTTTGTTTTTAGACACTCACAGAGTGTCAGTTGTCAGTGCACACACTTTCCAGTGGAGAATAAGGAACATGAAAATCAGCCTCCTACCCTGGGCAGCTGCTCTAGGATCCCCTCTCCTGGAGGTGGGGTGGAGGCGTGCACATCCACTCCTTTATTAGCTTGTCCTGCTGCCACGTGATGGCACTCAGACGGTTCATCGGGTCATTGTTTTCTGCAAGGCAGGCATTCTACGAAACCATCACATTCTCTCTTGCACTCTGTGCGGATGCCACGGATTTCATGTGCACATTCTGTCCATTCTTCCTCCAAAGCATGGCACCTCATGGCACCTCTGAGGCTGCTCCGCACTTTGCACTGCTGCCATGCCGCTGGTGCTGGGTGATATGCTGGCAACGGGAAAACCTGCCACAGTGTTAACTTGAAATTTTAAATACACAACTGAAGCCAAACATATGCTGGTCCAGTTTTTAAATAGAAATGTTAAGTCAGTTTTCATGTCAGCAGAGCTGTCTCTTAAATGCTGACTGACTTTTGAGGAGAGTCATGAAACATTTGAAAGAGCATCTGTTGATGTGGAGGCTGTGAGGTATCTTGGACGAGTAGCTGTGCAGTTTTTGGGTTCAAGACCTAGTACAGGGCGACCCTTTTTCTCCAGTGTCTGGACCCCTCTACTAGAATCCATAGCAAGCAAATTCCCACAATAGCAGCTGTCATTTTGTAGGGCGTTGCTCCCCTCCCCCAGGTTGTCTAAAAGAGCCAACAAATAACTGCCATGGCTCTCCGAACCCTGTCATTTTCCAGAAACACCGCCTGTCCTTCATGCTGAGTGGAAATTAGTGCCCATTGTTGGGATGGACAGATAGTGTAATGGAGAATGCATCTAAAAGAATTACAGCGATTTCTGAGCAACCTGTTACATAGAAGCATCAACTGTACAGAAGAGCTGCAAAGAGCACGGCAAGATGATTTAGGAAATAGAACATATGTGGTTTGGCGTAGTGACAGCTGGGAAAGAGAAATGCTCATAATATTTGAAGGTTGTGTGCAGTACACTTAAGGAAACTGAAAGGAGCTTGTAATAAGAAATTTGTGAAGTGAGGATAAAAATCTTGTCTGGACATATTGATGGTTACATAAAACTTTTGAATGTTTTTTTAAAACATGTGTTATTTATTTTTTTAAACTATTTTTATTGATTTCAGAGAGGAAAGAGAGATAGAAACATCAGTAATGAGAGAATCATTGATGTCTGCCTCTTGCACACACCCTACTGGGGGGTTGTGCCCACAATCCTGGGCATGTGCCCTTGATTGGAATCGAACCCGGGACCCTTCAGTCCACAGGCTGATGCTCTATCCACTGAGCCAAACCAGCTAGGGCAAATCTGTGGTAATTAAAATTCATTCTGATTCCATTCCAATCAGAAAAAAAAGATGTCCTCCATATTGTATAATAATTCTGAATATGGTGGTGACATTTCAAATCAGTGGGGGAGTGATGAATCCAATGAATGTTGTTGGAACAACTAGGTAGTCATCTGGAAGAAAAATAAAATTGGAGCCATACTTCACACCTTATACCAAAATAAATTCCAGATGGAGCAAGAAATTAAATCTGAGCAATAAAATAATAAAAGTGCCAGAACTTTTCTGTCAATTAGTAACCAATTAGTAATTGCATCAATTAGTTTTTACAGTTTCTCAAATCCTTCAGCAAGGCAACAAGTTCTCCATAAAATTAAAAAATGTTGTGTCATTTTTATGATACTCTAAGAAAAACAACAACAGGCAGTGGGATTACAGTTAAGATCTGAATTTTAAGCCATTAAACTTTATTGCCCCTCTGAGGACAACCACCTTATAACCAAATAGATGCCCATGATTCCTCAAACTGAAGCCTATAGATATATAATCTTAGAGTTTAAAGAGCTCAATTTTGAGAAATCCTTTAGTAGAGAACTAAAGAATAAAGGGTCATCCTGAAAAAAAGAATTTCACTGGGTACATCTCCCCTTAAACATATTTTATTCAAAAGATTGTCAAACAGCCGAAACCGGTTTGGCTCAGTGGTAGAGCGTCGGTCTGCGGATTGAAAGGTCCCGAGTTTGATTCTGGTCAGGGGCATGTACATTGGTTGGTTGCGGGCACATCCCCGGTAGGGGGTGTGCAAGAGGCAGCTGGTCTATGTTTCTCTCTCATCCATGTTTCTAGCTCTCTATCTCTCTCCCTTCCTCTCT